TACGGACTTAAACAAGCCCCAAGAGCTTGGTATGAACGTTTGAGTTCGCATCTCTTGGAGAATGGATTTCAAAGAGGAAAGGTAGACACCACACTCTTCATTAAGCATAATGCTCTTGACATGCTTTTAGTACAAATCTATGTTGATGACATTATTTTTGGTGCTACTAATGATCTTATGTGTGAGGAATTTACTAAGATTATGCAAGGGGAGTTTGAAATGTCAATGATGGGAGAACTAAATTTCTTCCTCGGTCTTCAAATTCGACAACTTGAACATGGGACATTTCTTAGCCAAACGAAGTACTCAAAAGAACTTCTCAAGAAATTTGAGATGGAAGATTGTAAAGAAATGGCTACCCTAATGAGTTCTCAATGCTCACTTGATAAAGATGAAAGTGGTAAGTCGGTTGATGTGAAACGGTATCGAGGTATGATAGGTTCTTTACTTTATTTAACTGCTAGTAGACCTGATTTGATGTTTAGTGTTTGTATGTGTGCTAGATTTCCAGCGAACCCTAAGGAATCTCATTTGACCGCTGTCAAACGGATCCTTAAGTATGTGAGAGGCACCTTGAACTTGGGACTTTGGTATCCCAAAGGTTCAACATGTACTCTCATTGGGTATTCTGATTCCGACTTTGCCGGGTGCAAAATGGATAGAAAAAGTACTAGTGGAACCTGTCATCTTTTTGGATGTTCACTTGTTTCTTGGTTTAGTAAGAAACAAGTTAGTGTTGCTTTGTCCACCGCCGAGGCAGAATATGTTGCTGCGGGAAGTTGTTGCGCCCAGATTCTTTGGATGAAACAACAACTTTTGGATTATGGCCTTGTACTTGATCATATTCCTTTGAGATGTGATAATATGAGTGCTATAAATATTATGAAGAATCTAGTTCATCACTCTCGTACAAAGCATATTGATATACGACATCACTTTATTAGAGACCATGTCCAAAAGGGTGATGTAGACATTGAATTTGTCGATACAACTAATCAGTTGGCTGACATTTTTACTAAACCTTTGGATCGTGAGAATTTTGTCGTATTAGAAATGCCTTAGGAATTATTGCCATTACTTAAGTTAATATTTTTATTTTTATTTTTTTTATTTATTCTATTTAATTTTATACTAACTTAGGCATCGGAGTGGCCTTAATTCTTTTTTGCAGGTTCTCACCCATCCACTCCTCTTTCTCAATCCATATGAAGCATTTATTGAGGGGGAATTCTACTTTGACTTTAGCTTTTTGAAGATTTTCAAAGGACTGCTCAGCTACAGCGTTTTATTCGAATAGTTTGGGAAACTAATCGAACAAGTTTGTTGCTTAAAAATTCCAGTGTCGCGGCTCAACATTATTTATTCGAATAAGTGAGACCCTATTCGAATAAATGAGATCAGATATGATATTTTTAAAAGGTCTTCATTCAGTCAAAGCTTCTATCTCTCACAAAAACCCAATCGCGCCTCTCTCTCTCTCAGCGACGAACCCTAGGTCGCAGTTCTTCATCTTCTCTGGCGTCTCATCACCTCCTTCGCCACTTCTCCTACCGGAATTCATGGCTTCTCGCACCAAGAAGAGGACTTCAAGGCCTTCTACTCAAGCTACTCATCCGGGCTCCTCTTCTCAACCTCCTACTTCAAACGAAAATCAAAGGTTCGAATTTGCTCTCAACCCTAGAATTTTCATTGATAGTGAAGAAGCTTTGAATTTCTATCGTGACAATGTACTTCCCCGGAAAATTATCACCCCTCGTTATGTTGAACTTGTGGATTTTGAGCGAGATACTTCTTATGAACTAGTTTTGTCTAAGCTTCGTTCTTCGGGGTTGATAAATGTTGTGACAATTCATGAATCTCATATCCCGGTTAATTATATTAAAGCTTTCTACTCCGATATGACTTTCAAGCGTAGAAATCATCAATATGTGATTATTTCTAAGTTTTGTGGTAAAGAGGTTACTATTTCTAGTGGTGAATTGAATGAGATGTTTGGCATGGAGAATAGTAACAAGGAGCTCACTACCCAAAATAATGATCAAAACCCGTGGTATAATTTTGATGAACAAAAGTGTTGGGAAGTGATGAATTTTCGACCCAAATTCAATGAATCTGGACGGCCCAAGGTGAATGGAATGCAACCTCCTCAACGCCTCATTCAATATATTTCCTC